CTTTGTGAGGACCCCTGTGTCGGACCTTGGGATGCCAGCATTACCCGGAGCACGGCAGAGTGGGGCCGGATCGCCTTCCCAGGCCGCGCCTCTCCGCGGAGGCACCAGTAATTGAATTAGCAGGGTAGCACTCGAAACATTCTTGGGCGTGTGAACTCGAGGAGCGGGCGGCACGTCCAGATCGGCCGTGTTTACCCAGTTGCCGTCGGCTGCGATGGGTGTAACACGATACAGAGTAGAGGTCCAGGGCTGGGACAGAGAACGCAGAGCCGGCGGCGACCAGGGAAGTGCGAGTTAACAGGAAACACGTGTTGCTCGCAGATGGCCCTGTGCCCTGTAACGCACGTCAGTGCAGCAGACAGCTCTCAGCTCGCGTCGGGCTTCCCCACACTGCTGGCCACTCCAGGCCGGTTCACGCAAGGCGCTGGGCACTGGCGACACACCGCGTCCAGAGGGCTTCAGGCAGGGGCACTTTGGGTGTCCTCCCCGTCCCTGGCGTATGCTTACAAGATGGGGCTGACAGGGGATGTCCGAGCCCTGGCCTGTCACACGTACTCACGACGCGAGATCAGTTCCTTAGATTGGAGGCACGCCAACTGCATGGCCCCCATCACCCATCCCGCTGTTTCAAAGCCATCCCTGCGTCAGCGTCTCACCTGCCCACCCCACCTCTGAGATCCGCCTCCGTGGGACTCCCTGTACGCCTAGGCCCCCTCCCACCTCCTCTTCAGCAGCTACTGCCTGGAGTTCATCGCACCCCGACCCATGCTGGACCCTGGGCTCTCTGGGCTTGGTCTGCTGTGTGTCCCCCCGAGCCCTTGCACCTGCCTGGAATCCCTCCTCCCACCGGAAGTGCCGTCCCCTCTGGGGCAAGAGCACAGACCGGGACAGGGGCTGGCCTCCTGTGAGCCTGCGGAGCCCGGCTGTGAGGGCTAAGCAGGGATGAGGTGGCCGTGGGGCTGTGCCAGCTGCAGGGCTGTGCAGCCTGGGTGCAAGGAGGATGGCGAGGGAGAGGAAGGCTCATCCCCTCCCAGGCAGAGCCTGGAGGGTCACGACGAGTGACTCGACCTCTCAGGTCTCCACTTCTCACCTGTAAAGTGGGGTGAGTTAAGGGGCCCCGGTGTCAGTTTGCCTGGCATGTCCCTCGATCAGTGTCTCTGGTTGACCCCCCAGCTTCCCCCGAGAAATGTCCCAGTTTAAGCAGTAAGTCGCGTGCTCCCCCCATGCGTAACAGAGCCTGCCACGAGTGGACGTTGCTGCGATTACGTGGCTGCCGTGGCCCTCAGAACATCACGTGGGGCTGGTGCCTGGTACTCCCATCTCTGTCTGAACTCGGTCCAGAAACGGGGCCCTGAGCAGTTAGCACTGGACCCCAGGGTGCTGTGCTTGGGTCCTGAGACTTAGGAAAGCAAAGAGAGGGCCTCTTGGCCTGTGCGGTCCAGCCCAGAGCCAGGGACTGTGCGGGCTGCTGAGTCCTGGGCCCTGGGGACACCCGTGCCCTGTCCTAGAGGAGCCTCCTGCAGGCCGCCCTCGTCCCACAGGGAAGCAGCCTGGGCAGTCCCTTTCTCAGACCCTCATGGCCTGGCGAGTCCTGGGGCAGCTCTGGCCCTGCTGTCCCCTCCTGGTAGCACACGCTGGCCACGTTCTCAACAATGTGGGCTCTTTCTGGTGCCCCGTGCATGGCACTGTCCTGTTGGTGCCCGTGCATGTGTTGTCCTGTTGGTGCCTGAGACCCACTAGAGTGAACGGGGCCACACACTTCCTCCTCCTGCAGGCCCGGGTCCTGGGTGGCCTCGGACCACAAGGACGCCCCTGGCCGCAGACTCTGCCACCAACCCGTGTCCACTCCTTGGGTTCCCATGGCCCGGGCTCCTGTCCGTTCCCCAAATTAGCATCCGTGGGTTCAGCTTGCGCAGTGCTGCCTTGGGGTCAAGGCAGGGGCAGGACAGATGCCAAGAGAAACCCCCAACAGGCCCCTGGGCAGAATGCGGCCTTGATGCTGTGTCCTGGGCCCCCTCGTCCTTGTTTGTGCACTGCGTGAAGTCCTTTTGCTCAGACTCCAGTAGACATGGCCTTCCCCCAACTCCCGGGGGTCCTGGAAGAGTGCAGCCTTGTAGGGGGACGCAGGGGCAGCCTGGAGACAAATGAGAAGTGAGTTAGCAGAGGTGAGCCGGGGACAGTGGTCACAGGATCCTCGGCCAGCCAAGGACGTCGCTGGCTGCTGTGCCTGCAACACAGAGAAAGCATGGCTTCCCCTTGGCAGGGAGCAGGGAGGGCGGTTAGGTCTGAGCCGGGGGAGGGCGGTTAGGTCTGAGCCGGGGGAGGGCGGTTAGGTCCGAGCCGGGGGAGGGCGGTTAGCGATGGCTCCCTGGCTAATGGTGAGGGGAGGGGAGCTCCATGAAGAGGCAGGTGGTCTTACAGGTGTGGACGGCTTTAGAGACCGCACAGGCCAGATGAGCAGCCGAGATCCAGGCTGACCCAGCTCTTAGGAGGCAGAGCACGGACTGGAGCCAAGGACCGCTGAGTGTTCATCCAGACTGAGGTCCACGCCAGAGGCCGCCAGCAGCCAGCCACATGACCTTGAACCCCGGGGCCCGCGGCTCCTTATCTGTCAGCTGGGGCCGTGGGACCGCATGATCTCGAAGCTGCCTTCCAGAAACAACATTCCAGGGTGCTCTGTTCCCCTCCCAGCCCCCAGGGCAGCCTCCCAGGCGGGGGCGCTGTGAGCTCTCCGGGGTCTGGGCTGGCTGCCGGTGCGGCCACGGTGGCTGCCGCGGGTCAGGATGGAGGACTCGGGGTTTCCTGGCTTCTCGGCCAGTGCCTCCTTCGCTCTGGCTGGTAAGGGCGGGACAGGCCAGCTTCCCTCTGGCTGATAAGGGCGGGACAGGCCTCCTTCGCTCTGGCTGGTAAGGACGGGATAGGGCAGCTTCCCTCTGGCTGGTAAGGACGGGACAGGCCAGCTTCGCTCTAGCTGGTAAGGGCGGGACAGGCCAGCTTCCCTCTGGCTGGTAAGGATGGGACAGGCCTCCTTCGCTCTGGGTGGTAAGGACGGGACAGGGCAGCGTCGCTCTGGCTGGTAAGGACGGGACAGGCCAGCTTCCCTCTGGCTGGTAAGGGCTGGACAGGCCAGCTTCCCTCCACCTCCGCGGCAGCTCCTTCCTCAGCCGCACACCCGGGGTGGGGCAGGGGAGTGCTCCCAGCAGGTCTCTGAGCTGGGTGGTCCATGGCGCAGCCTGCTCGCTGGGGGTGAAGGGGGCGGACTCTGGCAGCCATCTGGCCTCGCCTTGCCTCTCGGTTTCTCCATCTGTAAAATGGGGACAGTTGTTGGAGGCTTGAGTGTGAGGACATGACAAGCACACGGCCTGGCCCCCAGGAAGGGCTGTGTGAGGTGCGGCTGGGGCGCTGCTCTCGCTGGCGGACGCTGGCCAGGCCCCTGTGGCTGGATGCCAGCCGAGGGGACAGCTACAGCAGGAACCAGCGGGCAGCACCAGGCCGCTGTCAGTCTCCCTTGGAGAGGGGACCACCCTGCACCTCCCAGAACAGCCTTCTCCCCCCCATTGAAGCAGTTCCCCCGTAACCACAGTCGGGCTCACAGGTGGCCAGGATTCTTATTCACCACAGACTCCGTCTCCAGGGAGGCCACGTCGCGTCCTTGTCATTGTCCTGGTCACACGCGGCCCAGGAGTTCCCAGGAGGTGCAGGACCAAGCCCCAGCCACTCTGCTGCCCCCAAGGCGGAGGCGGAGACTGGGACTGCTGCTCATCCCCTGGCCCGGCCTCTCCCGCTCACTCCCGAGGCCCCTGTGGCATCCTGTGTGCCAGCGCCTCCCGCCCGGAGCACATTCCTGCCGCCGGCTGGGTTGCGGCCCTGCTCCTGCCTTCCCCCCTCTCCCTGGAAACTGGCAGGGCAGGGAGCTCTGTCCCCGCCCCTTGGAGACGGATGCATCACCCAGGAGTCACAGGGTCTGTTCCTCTGAACCCCAACCAAGGCTCCGGGGTGGCCAGGCCTGGGGAGCGCCACCCAGGGGCACCTGCAGACGAGCGCTTTCCCGTGGTCAGTCAGCTGATGGCCCGCGGAGCCCTGCGTGCTGCCTGGTGGAGTGGCACAGCCATGCTTGTTCCAAACGCCAGCGTGTGCTGCGCAGGCCCCAGGAGGGGGCGACCCCAGCCGCACCTCGCCACCCCCACATTGGCCAGCTCCATAGGAATCAGCACAGTGGCCATCTTTGGAGGGCTGGCGGGCAGGGACTGCCCGGGGCTGGGGCCCGGGTAGGGGGGCCTTGCTGCTGGGACGGACGCGCTCTGACTTCCCCGGCGTGCTCGCTGGGCGCTGTCACTGTCATCGGGAGCTGCACCCCTCGGCTTGGCGCACCTCGGTGAATGCCAACAGTGTCAGGCTAATGAGTAAGCGCCTCGCTGTGTCGGGGAACTGCGTGTTTTGGGAAGTGAGAATGATGCGTGAGTGGATGACATCGCCCTCCGTCCTCAGACTTGACCAACCCTTTTATTCAAATGTACACCTTTGGGAATCAACACGTGCCAGGAGCGAGCCGTTCTGGGGCTCAGGGTTTGCCAGAGTTATGGGCGTCTCCTAGGCATGCTCATCGCTCTGTTCAGCTGCGTCCTGAGGTGGGACCCAGAGGCTGGGCCAGATGGCGGGTCTAGTTTAACGGCAGAAGCGGCGTCAGATCACTCGCCCGGAGTCCTTGGCTGCATGGTGGGGGCCGCCCAGGACTGCCGCGGGCACGTTCAGAGTGTGCCGTGTGAGCTCACGGAGCTCCGGTTCCAGTTCGCCGCATCTCATGGACCTGCCACGTGTTGCCTTTTCTGGGGTACTTGGGGTCTCAGGAGCCACGTCCTGGTGGTGCTGCTCCGTTATGTCCGCTGGGATGGCCAAGCGGGAAGGCGCGTGCGGGCTCCACACCCCGCCTGTGCGGCCAGGGCCTCCGGTGGTGACGGCTCTGGGCACTGGCTGCTCCCACGGCCTCTTTCCACTTCCAGGTGGGCCAGGAGAAAGGGAACTGCTCCTTCCAGAGAAACCCGACGCCCTGCATCGTCCCGCAAGAGCAAGGCAGCATCTTCCACACGATCTTCGCTTTCTTCACCAAGTCCGGGAGGAAAGTCCTGGTAAGGGCGTGTGCAGCGGCCGGGCGGCGGGGTGGCTGGGGCGGCTGGGCGGCGTGGCGGTTTCCGTGGCGGAGCCAGCTCTGTGTGCTGTCTGCTGTTCCCCCGGCCTGGGTTTCATCCGTGGACAAAGCTGTGGACCGCGCAGAGTTTGTGGTCTGAGGTTTCGGTCGCAGCGTTCACTTCACGTCCAGATGCCAGGCCCTGGGAGGGGAAGCCTCTGCGGCGACCGAGTGAGATGTGTCTCCAGCTAGAATGAGAGGCTTGGAGGGGCGTCTGGTCTCTGCTACGTGGACTTGGGCTGAGGACTGTAGCCCCTACCTGACACATCAAGGAGATGCGGGTCCACATTTCAGACCCCGCCACACGAAAGGGAAAGGTTACACTTTCCCTGGTGATGGTGGGTGTTTGCGCACGTGTCAGCCCTGTGGTCTACCCCACGTGAATGTCGGGGATGGTGTGTGCCACCGCACGGGCGGAAACTGTAACGTGAGAGGGGCCTCTCGTGCTTCCAGAATTGTCCCCGTGTTTCTCTGAGCAGGCGATTCTGCCTCCTTGTGCAACCCAGCCTTTCGGTAGAATGAATTTTGCCGGACTGGGTGGGCGCGCTCCCGGGTGCCCTCTAGTGGCAGCAAGGAACGCTCGCATCTTCCTGGGACTGCCTTTGCCACGGAGGCTCCCGGGAGGGCTGCTCTGTGATTGTGGGCTGTGGGCTTTGCCCGATGCACTGAACGGTCCCCGCTCTGTGTCCTCAGGACTGCGGAAACCCGGGAGTCCCCTGCCTGACGATGCACTGTAACCTCAGTGCTCTGGCGAGAGAGGAGAGCCGTACGATAGACGTGTTCCTGCTGCTGAACACAGAGGTCCTGAAGAAGGTAACCTTGACCGTGGGCTCCGTGTGCAGGCACAGGAGCCGGCGCTCCCTGGAGGGCTGCTGCCGCGAGGGCCACGGCTGACTGTGCTGCTGGGCGATGCCAGGGGACGCTTCCAGACCCGGGGACCCCAGGGCTGACCCCCGGGCCTTGGGCAGCACCCGGGCTTCCTCACTCTCCATCTTCATTGGAGCCCGTTCCCCCAGTGGACGGGTTGCACATTTAAGTCTCCGGACTTCGCTGTGCGTCCGATTTTCCCTGGAGACCTCAGGAACCGAATCCCTCGGGTGTGGCGTCCGATCCTGCAGGCTGACAAGCCCCCGGTGAGGCTTGTGCGGCTGGTCTGGGTCCTCCCTAGGTCAGGGGTCGGCACACCTTTCCCGTACAGAACCTGCGGCAAATCCTTTCGACTTCCCAGGCCTGGCCTGCCCGGGCGGCTGCCGGGGTCTGCCATGTACATTCTGACGGCAGCCATAGAGAATACACCAGTGGGCGTGGCTGTGTGCCGATAAAACTTTGTTTACAAAAACAGGCAGGGGGCCAGATTTGACCCACAAATCTGGTTTGCTGACATTTATTTAAATCAGAGACGCTCACAACTTTTGAACTCAGGTCACTTTTATTACGAGTTTATGAGAAGTGGCTTATAAAAAAAATACCCCAGCCAGTGGATTGGTGGCCCTTGAAGAATCATAGAGATTTACTAGGATTTATTTTAAGCAAGAACCGCTGAGTTGGAGAGGCCACTTCCCACAAGACGCTATAAAAATAATTACACATGAAGATAAAATATGCACGTTAGCCGCAGAGACGCTGTTTGTTTGCCCCGGGAGAGGCTGAGTGTGTTCCTCTGCGAAACCCGTTGTGTGCGCGTGGTGTCCTGCGAAAGGCCGCTCCCAGGCTGTGCTTCCCCGAAACACAGGACAGACGGGGGGGGGCACCAGGGCAAGCCTCCCACCTCCTGTCTGCAGCCGTCGGGCGGAGCTGTGCCCAGCTCCGGCCACCCTGGCTTGCCCTCCAGGGACGGGGTTAGGGGCCGACTGGGCTGGCACGCAGGGGCCCCGCTGCACCGAGGGCAGTGTTGGAGCCGGGGCCAGGCAGAGCCAAGAGCACCACCACCGCCACCCACAGCCTCTGCTTCCCCAGGGAGCCTGCAAGCCCCTTCCTGGCCCACGTCCCAGCTCAGGTGGAGGGCCGGCCTTCGGCTCCTGGCCTGACCCTGTCGGTACAAGCGGCCCTGCTGCTGACGGTTTTATTCCCTGTGCCACGCCCACTGCCACTGTCAACACAGCCACTCGGATATCTCCGGGCGACCCCACGGCTGCTGGTTACACTCAGTGCGCTGTGCCCAGTGTGACCTGTGCGGGGCCCCGTGTCGAGGGGCACGCCCACGGTCTGCCGTCCCCTCGGCTCAGCCAGGCCCGTGGGGGTCTGGGCACAAGAGCTTAGAGCCACAGGGTGTCCCACGGGGCCTCAGAGGTGTATTCTCCTGGGAGCAAAAACCAACAGAGACCACAGTGCCGGAGGAAGAGCCCCTGGGCGAAGCGAACTGGAAGCCGGATGGGGCCGAGCTGCTCCCCTCCCCCTCCTGGAGCCCTAGATGTAAGGTGTGGGGCTGCCCCGACTCAAGATTGGAAACACGGCGTACCCTGGTCCTGGGATCGCTCGATACAGACTGGGCACTGCAGAAGTGAGCTGACCAGACTGTCAAACATCTGTTTACAGCTGTTTTTGAGGGAACATGGGCACAGGAAGGCCCGGAGAAGTGCAGGAGCCGGGTGCCCCCCGGGAGAGTCTGGTTTCTTCGGCAGGGAGTCCAGGGGCCCCCCGGAACTTTCTGGAGAGGAAGTCCTCCCTTTCCTAGTTCCCTGTGGGTGTAGCCAGCGTGGGTGCTGTGAGCCTGTCTCAGCCCACCTCCGGCCGCTGGGACCGAGTGCCTGTGACCATTTGCTGCCAGCACCTGCCCGGCGTCTGAGCCGGCCTCCTGGCGGTGGTGAGGCGGGCGGGGGCCTCGGCAGGTGTGCTGGCTCAGGTCTCTTCGCGGGCCCCACCCTCCAGACCTCATCCACCCCTGACGGCCCCCAGAGTTCCCTCTCCACATGCCACTCACACAGAACCGTGAGGATTAAGTTCCCAGGACACAGACCCCCGGAGGGAGTCCCGCGCGGCCGCCAGCTGAGTCAATGCGGTGGTGTCCCTGGCAGGCCTCGGCACCGGGCACCCGGCGGGGAGAGGCCGTGCCGCCCCCCCCTCCAGTTCCCCGCCCTCTGTTTGCACACAGAAGCCACGCTCCGTGGCGAGTGCGTCGGCTTCTGTTCCACCAGCTGAGAGGTCCTGGCTGCCCCGGGCCACAGCTTTGCCATCCCCTGTCTTTCCCCAGCGCCTTCTCATAACGGCTCTGGAGCTGCGTTTTCCGTGTCTGGATCGGTGGCTTTGACCGTGAGCCCCGGCAAGGCGTCCGACTGCCACTCTGGGGTCTTCCACACGTCCGTGGCCCCCAGCCTCCTTCTGCTCAGGCCTAATTAATAAGCCAGTGTCGTCCCATTCCTCACCCCTCTGTCAGTGCTAAACAGCCTTGACTCGAAGCAGGGTCCTTCAGGAGCGAAGGAAGAGTTGAAAGTAACTCACGCAGGGCCTGCGGGCTGTGGTCGGGGCAGGAAGATGCCCACGAGATGTGATTCAGGGGCTGGCCGCGCCACGCCACGCCAGGCCTGCGTTTGCTGTGCGCAGTTCGGCGTGATTCGTCCTCAGCTCCCCATGAGGACATCAGTGTCCACGTCCAATAGCTGGCTCTCACCACTTGGAGACCACAACATGCATGCTTCCATGTGTGGGTGTCGACACCATCCATGGCCCTCGGGACCCACCATGATCCAAAAGAAGGAATTCCCATTCGAGACGCCGGCGGCTCGTGTGTGTGCGGTGCCGGCCTGGGGAGAGCCGAGGTCTGGGCTGCGGAGGACCTTGGCGTTGTCCGTCCTGCCCCAGGCTTGCCGAGGCCCAGCCGTCGTCCTGGAACCATGGGGCCAATGCAGTCCTGTTGTTCCCCCCACAGGACAGTTCCTCTGTCATCCAGTTCATGGCTCCGGCCAAGGTGAAGGTGGACCCTGCCCTGCGCGTGGTGGAGCTAGCTGATGGGAACCCGGAGGAGATGATGGTGAGTTGGCCGCTCTTGGCGGGGGCGGGGGGGGGGGGACTGGCTGGAGGCTTGGGGCTGGAATTGGAGGGTACAGACCACAGGGTTGGACCCCAGACCGCAGCTTCCCCATGGAGACCGTCTGTGCTTTGTGGTGGCCCTTGTTGTGCAGGGTGCCATGGTTATGTGGACGTCTCCTGCGTGATTGGCCCAAGGACAGAGAATTTGGGAACACTCTGGAGGGGGCAAATCCACTCTGAAACCGGGACTATTTTTATCTCTCTTGGCCTTTTCCCTCCAAGCCTCCTCTGCCTTCCCAAACACTTCGCTCCATGGATAAACACAGGCTGTTTTAAAAACAAGTTGTTTGACTCACTCGAGGAGGTCACATCCCAGTGCCAAAGACCCAGAAACTTCTCTCCCGCACCGCCCACTCTCTTGTCCTCGGCACGCCGGCCTCGCGCACACGGCACAGGGCGTGGCTGTGGGAGAGGCGGGCAGGAACGTGGCTGAAGACGCCTCCTGCCCTTTATAGCAGGGCCTGGGGCGGGAGTGGCTCCTCCACGGTTTGACACCTGCGCTCGGCTCCTGGACGGGGGCAGGGGCGGGGGGAGAGCGCAGCCCACGAGCTGCTTTGCCACCAGGCTGTGCAGTGTCACTGTGTGCGTCCCCTCCTCTGGGAGACGACCTCCCTGGGAAGTCAGGGTTGCCGTGACGCATGGACAGCTCTGAGAAGCGCCTCATGGCCCCGTGCTAACGTATCTGCTGACAGAGAGAGAGCACGCGTGTTGGGATGCCGTGGTGGGGGAGTTGAAGGATTCATTCAGAAAACAAATCCTTGGGGGCTTCAGCAGGATCCCAGGCCTGCTGCTGTTCAGGGCGGTCGTGAGCACGTCGGGAGTCGGCGTGCCTGGGCGTGTGTGCCCGGGCGGGCCGCACACTCCCCACGCAGGGCGGGGCTGCAGCACCTGCGTGGGCCTGTGCAGGGGCTGTCCAAGCTCTAGCCTGTTCCGTTTGTATTTGTTTCAGAGGTAGAGAGAGAGGTGCTCCTGTCCGCTGGTCCTTCTCCCACACGCAACCAGGACTGGGCCAGGCAGAGCTGGGAGCTGGAACCCATCCAGGTCCCGACCCAGGGCAGGGCGGGGGTGGGGCAGGAACCCAGTCACTTGAGCCATCACTGCTGTCTCCCAGGGTCTTCCACAAAAAGCTGGACTTGGAAGCCGAGTGAAGAACTGACCCAGGCACCAGAACCCCCAAAGCACCCGTTTTAATGACAGAAACAGCAGAGCGATGCTGGCTCCGTAGGGTCAGACTTTGGAGTGGGCTGTGCCTTGACCTCCATGCTTTCTGGCCACTGAACTCCCTGGAAAGTTCTAGAAGTCCTCCAGTACTCTCTGCATCGCTGTCGTCAAGTTTCCTAGGATGAACCATGACAGATTGTCAGGAAGACATTTCTTATGCAAAAACAAACAAACAAAAAAACTGCGTCAACTTCCAGAATTTTTTGCACCAAAATAATCGTGTATTTGTAGAAAATACACTGATTTTCATTTGTCTAAAAGGTAGAGACACAGAGAGAGACAAGAAAGCAGCTAGGCCGAGACCTGCCATCCGCTGATCCACTCCCCGTGCCTGTATTAACCGGAGCCGGGCCAGGCCGGGTCCAGGAGGCCAGAGCCAAGCGCAAGTCTCCCGCGTGGGCGGCAGGGCCCAGCCACGTGACAGCGCTGCTGCCCCCCAGGGTGAGCATTTACCCCTGTGCCAGACGCCTGCCGGATCTTAACCTTTTAACTCCACTTCCCACGTGTATACCCCGCTTTAGAGTTTGAGAATGTCTGCAGGGTGCGGTGTTTATACGAGCAGTTATGACGCTGGCTAAGATGCCCACGTCCACGTCAGAGTGCCTGGGTCAATGCCTGGTTCCAGCCCCTGGCTCCAACTTCTTGTGAATGCAAACCCTCAGAGGCAGTGGTGACGCCCAAATGACTGGGCCCCTGCCACCTCCCTACGAGACCTGGATTGAGTCGCTGACTCCCAGCTTTGGCCTGGCCAAGCCCTGGCCATTGTGGGCATTTGAGGAGTGATCCGGTAGATGGCAGCCTGTCCCTCCCCTCCCCCCGCCCCAAATAAGTTAATTTAAAAAAGAATAAAGAATGTCCTTGTAGCACAGTGTTCACAGGGAAGAGCTGTGGAAACAATGAACAGATTTCCTACCGGTGGAATCCTTTGTGTAGATGGGGAAAAATCACCGGGCACGCGGCCGTCTTAATGAGAGGAGCAAGCCGCAGACCCAGGAGGACATCGCTTACAGCGTGGCCCTGGGTGGGCTGCACGCCCCGAAATGCCACGCCCACTCGTCACTGTTCTGTTCTGAGCTCCGTGCTGACATTTCCATTATCAAGGCTTCTGGGAAGAGGCGGGCCTTTCTCAGGGCTCCTGGGAAGCAGCTAACACCCAGGAACCCCGAGCCCCCACTCCCTGCCGCGCCATGACTGCGTTTCAGTCCAGGGTGGACTGAAGGCTTTGCCACTGCAGAACCAACAGTGCCTTCCCTGCGTGTCAGCCCGGGGCCCACGGGAGGACGCCCACGGAGGCTAAGCCGCCGCATTCCGGTCGGACAAAACCCGCAAGGTGTTAGGTCAGGGACCAACTCGTCCAGGCCTTGAACAGGAAAATACTCGCATCTGGTACGGAGCAGGGTGTGGGTGAGGGGAGGAAGAAGTCAGATTTGTAACCCCACAGAGTACGTGTGGCGGCAGATTTAGCTGATAAGCAGTAACGTTCCTGCGTGTGCTTCTCTGTGTTTCTATGTTTATGCCTTGGGGTGAGCAGGGCTTTCCCGAGCTTCTGGGTGAACCCCTGGAAGTGGGCAGTAGGTGCCTGAGGCCTTTGCCTTCTCTCTTGGGGAAGAGAGCCCGAGCTGGCCGTGTGTAAGAGCGGCTGCGGCAGGTCTGCCTAGTTCCCACGGCCCCAGACCCCGAGCGCCAGGGCAGAATCACGGTGCTGGTGGCCACGTGCTCGGAATGTGTTGAAGTTCACGTTCAACCAGCCCTACTTGTCAGGGAGTCGGAGGTGAGAGGGAAAGGGGTGGAGAGGGCTGGCTAAGCGCCACTGATGTCGGGAAGATTAAGGCAGGGCAGTGCGCGTCGAGGCGCGGTGGGTCCAGCCCCCACTCGGGAAGCCCACACCCCATGTGAGTGCCACGTTCCAGTCCTGGCTGCTCTGCTTCCGATCCCGCCTCCTGCTGAGGCACCTGGGAGGCAGTGGACGCCGGCTCCAGCGCTCAAGTCCCTGCCACCCGTGTGGGAGACGCAAAGGGAGCTCCTGACCCAGCCCCAGCTGTCGCAGCTGTTTGGGGAGTGAACCAGCGGATGAAGGATCGGTTCTCTCTCTCTCTCTCTCTCTCTGCCTTTCAAATAAACAAATATTTTTTAAAAGGTTTATTTATTTATTTGAAAGTCAGAGTTACAGAGAGAGAGAGAGAGAGGGAGAAAGAGAGAGAGAGAGGGGTCTTCCATCCGCTGGTTCACTCCCAATTGGCCGCAATGGCCAGAGCTGCGCTGATCCAAAGTCAGGAGCCAGGAGCTTCCTGGTCTCCCACGTGGGTGCAGGGGCCCAAGGACTTGGGCCATCCTCCACTGCTTTCCCAGGCCGCAGCAGAGAGCTGGATCAGAAGAGGAGCAGCTGGGAATCAAACCAGCGTCCATATGGGATGCCAGCACTGCAGGCGGCAGCCCCACCCGCTACGCCACAGAGCCGGCCCTAATAAACAAATCTCTTTAAGACTGAGGGAAACAGAGCTAATCATGCCCATGGCCCTCGTTTAGAGAAGGAACTCAGAGGAGTCCGGTGGCCGCCTCTCATCTGTGGTTTTACATTCCTGCCATCCAGAGCTATTAAATGGAAACTCCAGAACTAATTTTTTTTTTGACAGGCAGAGTGGACAGTGAGAGAGAGAGACAGAGAGAAAGGTCTTCCTTTTGCCGTTGGTTCACCCTCCAATGGCCGCCGCGGCCGGCGCGCTGCAGCCGGCTCACCATGCTGATCCGAAGGCAGGAGCCAGGTGCTTCTCCTGGTCTCCCATGGGGTGCAGGGCCCAAGCACTTGGGCCATCCTCCACTGCACTCCCTGGCCACAGGGAGAGCTGGCTTGGAAGAGGGGCAACCGGGACAGAATCCGGCTCCCCGACCGGGACTAGAACCGGGTGTGCCGGCGCCGCAAGGCGGAGGATTAGCCTAGTGAGCCGCGGCGCCGGCCCAGAGCTAAGTAATTTTTAGTGTTGTTACAATCAGGTGTGACTGCTCATCTCTCACCATGCCTGTTTGCAGACTCTTACAGGAAAGCACGTGGCATCCTCACAGGCAGGGCGTGGCTCTGTACAGCCGCAGGCGGCCTCGGGTGGGGGTGTTCCGGAACGTGTTCCCTGAGGATACGGGGGCTCCTGCACTCAGAAACAAGACGCACGCAGGCTCCAGAGATGCCCGGCTCTGTCCCTGCAGCCGTGAAAGGACACGGGAGGACACGGGAGGACACGGGAGGACACGGGAGGGGTGTCGGGAGGGGCTCCCCCGATCCCTGGTTGGCTACTGCGGCCCACAGATGGGAGAACTCGAAGTCTGCACCTTCCACAGCGAGCAGTCGTGAACTGAGCTGCAGACGTCCACCAGGCAGACCACCGAGAGCCCGTGGAACCGGCTGTCACTGCAAGACGCAGGACGCTGGCGTGGACTCCTGCCATTTCCAAAGAGCGGAATGCATGGGCAGTGTGCCCGCCCCCAGATGAGCGCGTGGGCTGAGGGCCGGGGCCCACGCAGGGCGGCCTCGCTGTGACAGGATCAGAACGGGAGAGCAGTTCACGGGAGGGAGCTCCAGGCTGGGGTGCGAGCGTAGTTAGGAAGCCAGAGCGGCCGGGCTACAGGGGCAGGATGCGGGACGGTGCCCTGGGGCATCAGCAGCCGTTCGTCACCGTAACGAACACCTGGACCTCCTGAGACAGGACGGAGCTGTGTTTGACTCACTCT